ATCTGTCGTTGTTTTGTTAATAGTTCATATGTGGCATTTACAGGGATTAAAGCAAAGTTACAGTTCTGCTGGAGGGCAGTATTCCAAGACTCACCATTTTCCTTATTAAGAAAACGATTCTCATCCTACATCTCCTTTGCATCTAGGTGTGGTCCCCTTGTCAAGAGAACTAGATTAAAGATGAAAGTCAAGTTCCTTAGATCTCGGGCTCACGGGACAAAAGCATTGTGTGAGCGTTTGACTTTCTGCCACCCATCAAAGTCCAGGCAGACATTTGAGATGTGCTTTTGAGCAAAGCGAGGAACGTGTCAAGGAGAAGGATAATTTTCGAGACTGTGGCCTCCTGCTTTTAGTGTTAGATTAAGTTAGGGGGAACAAGAAGAAAAGAGACTTTGACTCGTTAATGAGGACAAGATGGTGGATTTGAATTCTATAGCAGTAGTCATCTGGTTCATATAGGGTACTGTCACAATGGAAGAACTCTCAACAGAAGAAGCAGGGCCGAAGAACTCAATGCGAATGAGGTGCAAGTAATTTCAGGTCTGAAACCAGAAAGCATTATTTTTACACAATGGATTTCTGGGTAGTTTGGAAGAAAATGTCAAGTCATGTTTCATGTGCTGCTGGATCACGGTGGTGTTCTCAGCTCATTAAGCTGCTGACAAGGTGGGCAGAAAGGCCTGGTGACATCTTTTACCTTGCTGCTGCTCCTGAAGTCAAACTGTCGTGCCAGCAGAAATCTGAAACCGAGAAAACCGTCTGGCTAAGGAACATTCTGACATCTGCCTTCCCCGCCCACCCCCCCCCACATACACTTTTGCTTTTTCCTTGTCATAGGATAGGGGTTAATCAGCTCACGAATTGTTTCTGCAACTGGGAAATTCAAAGTCAAAACCCTGTGTACAATGTTAAAAGATGTACAGTACATCAGGTGGCCATGAGTTACAGATACACGGTGAAATCAAGTGTTGTACAACACACCATTGGTCATGTCATGTCATTTGTCAAACCTCTTTATATCGTATGGTGACGCAGGAAGCCGGAGCCTACCCGGCAAGCAACGAGCCCAAGGCAGGGTACACCCTGGACAGGACGCCAGTCCATCGCAGGGCCAGTGCAAACCGATCATACATGGGGACAATTTGGAGGCCACGGTAAAGGCCGAGGGGGAGAAATTTGGCCCGGATAACTCCCTACTCTTCTCGAGAAACGCCCGGGGATCTTTCCTGACCCCTGAGAGTCAGGACCTCCGTTTAACATCTCATCCGAAAGACGGCGCCCACTACAGTATAGTGTCCCCACCACTGTACCAGGGCAATAGGACGCACACAGGCCGCAGGGTGGTCCCACTACCACCTCTTCCAGCAGCAACTATAGCCTCCCAGGAGGTCTAACAACCAGGTACTGACCAGCCTCAACCCTGCTGAGCGTCAGTGGGTAGCCAGTTGAGAGCTGCAGGGTGATATAGCTGTTGGCCCTTACACACCATTGGAATGAATTATTTTTATTTTAATAAATAACCGTAATTCATGTTGCACATTTGAAATCTTTGCAGCAGGCTAGGTTTATTTCATTTTCTTAACTAGGATGGAAGCCTTCTACATTCTGTAGGGCATTCTGTATTCAAGCCATTGACAGGCTAGTGTAATAATGTGTCCAAGATGAGTGCTGGGCTACATCCCAGAGGCCTGAAGAACACACATCCACTACCTGCTGTATTATTAAAGAACTGCTAAGCTATAAGTAACTATAACTACTTCTACTATGAAAGATCCTGCCACAGTATGACAGTTCCCAGAAGCATTACAGAATCGTGATCTTGTTCTTATAGAAAAGATGGCCCCACAGATTTGTAAGGGGCTTTTCACCAAGCTCTCGGATTTTTCTTAACAAAAATCTCAGGCGTGCTGTACCTGATCTATCTTTGCTACAGTCGACGGCGTTTTTCTCCTCTTGGACTTTTAAGACGTAAAAGCTGTACATCAAAGCTGATGTAATAGAGCTTTGAAGAGATCGAGAACTTGTCAGCTGGAGACTTGGCTGAAAATGAGCATTTGTATTTAGAAGAAAAAAAAAACTTTTGATCATTTTCATTCACCAGAGTACCAGCTTCAGTAATGAACGTGGCTGTGTAGCTTGTTCCACGCTCCCACAACTCTTAGTGTACAGAAGTGCCTTCTGTCTTCAGCTTTAAATGCCCTTCCATGTAGTTACCACTTGGTTCCTCTGGTTTGTGGGTCACTGTTTAATAGGTGTTGAATAGGTCTGTTTCTGATGCTGCGCATGTGGATCTGTTGACTGATGGATGCTCACGAATGTTAGGTGAATTGCAAAATGTTTTTCTTACCAACGTGTCCACTGAGGTTGTCTGTCTGGGAAAGTTCAGTGTTCAGTCTGTGAGGGTATGCCTAACGTGCTTTTATTCACAGTGCCATGGTGAATTTATGCCACGTTCCCACATTTACTGTGATTTTGCTTTTACTTCTGCTGTGGTTAAAACCATAGGAAAACCACCTACCCACTGAGTGATATTGTGGTGCCATATCATGACGGATATGAGCAGCCATCTCGAAGGGAAGGGATGTTTGCTTCAGCATGAGGGTTTAGTCAGTAAGTCAAGCAAATCTGTGAATTATATACTAAATAAGGGCAGCTAGCGGTGCAGCAGTTAGCATTGCTGCCTCGAAGCGCTGAGATTCTGGGGCCGAAGCTGGGCCTGGGATGCCAGCTGTGTGGAGTTTGCATGTTCTCCCCATGCTTGAGTGGGGTTCCCCCCCCCCAAATGCTTCGGTTTTCTTCCCACAGACCAAAGACGTGCTGGGAGGTTGAGTGGCTTCTGGGAAAACTGGGCGCTCTGCGATGGGTTGGCGTTTCTGTCCCGCGTCGGTAATCATTTATAGCGCAGGTACCTTGGCTCAGGGAAAAACTGCGTCTTATCATGAGGAACAAGTGAAGGTTTATTTCAAGCCCGAAGAAGGCTCCACAGCCAAAACGTTTTCTTTTTTTTCCCTCCCCTTTCTTTCAGCGCAGAATAAACCTTTAATTGTTCCTTGGCAGCCTACCCATGCTGCAGCAGCTCCCTACTTGTCTTATGAGGGCATCCCCAGCGTTGTGAAGTGGTGGTTAGGTGTGTGCATCTGCCAGGAGTGGATCCTGAAGAATTCAACAGCACAGTGCCCTGTGGTGTGAAGCAGGCTTTGCCAGTTATTCACGCCAGCCTGTTTTTTTGTCGGGCCGGTTGAAAGAATGTTAAACCTCTTCGACGGCATACAAGTAGCGAAACGGGCGACACCACAGTTGAAATTTCAGAACTGCCTGGCATCCCTCTCCAGGGTAAACCTTATGGGCGGTATTTTGAAGGGCACAGAGGTTCAGAACTCCCTTCCCCCTTGAATAAGAGACCGTGCCTCTAGTGGGGGAAAGATGCTGCCTCATTCGTCACCCTGATCTATGCTTGTCGTGGTCACTGTTTTAGTTTGGGGACCATCAGGATTCTCACAAGGTCATCAGACGGCTATAGAAACACCAGGTTGCTGGGAAGCTGACCTCTGATTTATTTGAGCAGAGTCACGAGCACTTCCTCCTCCTCTTCGAGGTCGCCTTTGCTCTGCGGTCCCTTGACTTTGTGTCGCCCAGAACCTCTTTTTTTGTTTGTTTTTGCCTCCCCCTGCTCTCGCATGTCTTCCAAATAACCCTGATCGCGCCACCGTGCCTTTTGGGCTCTTGTCTTCGGCCCTGCAGCAAGAAACTTCCAGTTTTTCTTTCAGACCTCTGCTGAAGAGAAAAAGACGATGTCTATTTCGAGCAGACTTTTTTTTTTTTTTGCCCTGGCTGCTGGTCTGCGATGCAGGTGGACGGGCCATTAAAAGTGAATGAGGAACCTTTAAGTCGAGAGAGCTGCTGCTAGTCTCCGGGGTCTGATCTATATCAGCCCTGCCTGGGAAGGAGGCCGGGGCACTCAGCCCCTCTTAATGGAACATGACAGCTACACAGGGCCACTTTCACCACAGAGCCCTGACTGACTTGTCTACGAGAGGAAACGGGGCCGCAGCAGAGATTCACAAACCTGCTCCCCAGAAAAAGACCAAGAAAACCCATCTTCCCATTCCCAGGTGCTGAAGGCAGGGGGGAGATACAGAGGATTTGATTTGGGGGGAGGAAAAGTACAGTTTTCTACTTAAGTAAACACTTTTATTGGTACTGCTGTTGCTGTACTGTAGCATGGCATAGGTGAAACAGGAGAATATGGGAATTTATGCTAATAACATCTTCAAGTAGCCAGCAGCCATATCACCCTGCAGCTCTCAACTGGCAGCCCCACTGAAGCTCAGCAGGTTTGAGCCTGGTCAGTACCTGGATGGGAGACCTCCTGGGAAAAACTGAGGTTGTTGCCGGAAGAGGTGTTAGTGGGGCCAGCAGGGGGCGCTCACCGTGCGGTTTGTGTGGGTCCTGGTATAGTGGCAGGGACACGATACTGTAGTGGGCGCTGCTTTTCGGATGAGATGTTAAACCAAGGTCCTGACTCTCAGGGGTTATTAAAGATCCCTGGGCGTTTCTCAAGAAGAGTAGGGAGTTATCCCAGTGTCCAGGCCAAATTTCTCCCCCCGGCCTTTACCATGATCTCCAAACTGTCCCCATGTATGATCGGCTTGCACTGGCCCTGCGATGGACTGGCGTCCTGTCCAGGGTGTACCCTGCCTTGCGCTCGTTGCTTGTCGGGTAGGCTACGGCTTCCTGCGACACCGTACGGTATGAAGCGGTTTGGCAGATGAAATGACATGACATATCCGAGTAGCAGGGGTTGTGATAAAGCCTGCAGCAGAAGAGGTCAGATGGGGGAGTTCATGGAGTAGGTGTTGTGAAACGTTGAGAGAACTGGGGTTGTTGTTCCTTGCTCAACTTACTGAAGGCGACGCTCTCCTTTTGCAAAGCGTTTTCTTCACACTAACCGACGAGACCTGCCACTGGAAATGCTCAGCACTGCTTAGGCAGATGTATATTTTTTATTTCTGACCCCCCCCACTGGTTGAAGGCTCTGCTTCTTGAACCACATTCTCTGCTGAATTTCCATTCTATTGCTCGTACTGCGATTTGGTGTCAGATGATGTTAGATGATCGGTGTTTGTATGGTTCTTCCCATGGTTGATACCACCCGACTCGTCTGACCTCTCTGTGGTGGCACAGGAATGACATGGTCTAACTAGTGCATCTGACCGCTGTTTTGTTTTTTTGGCCAGTCTAAAATAACTGTCAGGTTTGTAACAAATTTGGACAAAGCGGCAAAGGAACACCAGCTCGGTATCTTATGCGTTGCCTGTGCATGCTGAAATCGATGCCTAATCCTAGCTCTCACCCAAATGTGATCAATTCTGGAGGGGCTACATGTGACACCTGGGTGTTAATGGTATTTATTCAGAAATTTATCATTCATTTTTAGCCCTTATTTTAAGAGACCATGGTTTTCCTCAGTTGTCTGGACTAACCCAAGCATCTAAAAAGCTACACCAAGCACATTATGCTTGCTTTCTGTGCTTCTGGGTGGCAGCGATTTGGTGGGAGAATGAGATCAGAAAGCCGAGACAGTACCCTGCGTTGCACTTAAGACAAGATTAATAAAATATGTGCTTTTCCCAGTAAATTCAATTTCCCCTCTCTTGTGTTTTTTTTTTATCCTCCCATCTGAGATAAAGATGTGCTTGCGGAGGTTTTTTTTTTCCTCCAGAGGAGTAATGGAAAAGGTGTGTTACACATCTCGATCCGGGCTTTTTTCCCTTCGTTGATTTCTTATTTGATGGGTTTTGTGCACTTTTATGGCCCTGCGTCCTGGAGTTTGGAGAACGTGCGACGCACCATTAACAGTTTTGTTTTTGAGCTGGTTGTACTCCTAAATTAATCTCGCGAGGCAACGAGTTAACAGTGGAGGATGTTCCATATGCGACACGTGAAGATTGGATTGACATCTGTGCATTTATTATCTTGTTGCTGGATATGAATAAAAATGACGTAAATAAATTAGGTAATGCCGTTTTCGAGCATTACCGCTTTGACAGAACCGAACCTGAAAAACTAAAATAAGAATTTCCGTTTTGAGAATTGAGGTCCTATTTGGCTTTTTGCTTCCAAACTCGAGAAAGGTGAAGGAGCGAGACTGGAACTCCAAGGGTTAATGGTACCTTGACGTTTTCTTTTTTTTTTTTCTCCCCCAGAATCCTTCACAGCCGACCACAAGCCCTTGATGGGCGAGGCCCCAGAAGTGAGAGGGTTCTTCCTGGGCTGCGGTTTCAACAGTGCAGGTAAGAATTGGAAGCCTGATTCTGAGAACTATTTTAAAAGGAAGCTGCTTTTCTACTATCTGCTTCCCAGACAACTCGGATTAACTTTTTAAACCTGTTCCTACCTGCTTCACCCAGTGACCCAATTTTATATACAACATGGAGCACACAAGCCAGATCCATTGTTCAAGAATAATACCAGTTATTTGACCTGGAAAATGCCAAAGGAGATGGTCTTCTTTGAAGCCCCCTTTTGGCGACCCCTAGTGGCAGGCTCATGGAAATGACAGTCCTTCTATTGGACTGGTGCCCTAGCAGCCATCAACAAGTGAGACAGAGAGAGAGAGATGTTGGGGAAGAGGCAAATTATGTGAAATATGTTCACAGATATACAAATTTGTGAATGAGTTGGAAAGGGCAGGATACCGATGCAATGAGAAAAATTAAGAAGCAGTTGCAACAATCAAGCCAAGAGATGGTAAAATGCTACAGTATTTATGACAGACGGTGCTTGAGGAAAGCTCTAAGCATCATCAAAGACACCACACACCCCAGCTAGCTTGGACTACCAGACTCAGAGACAGTTTTTACCCCCGCACTGTCAAACTATTAAACTCCCAGCCTCTCTCACCTAGGATCTGAACCTCACGGTGCCTTCTTTCTTACCAAAAACTCAAACACACGTTGGAATCTACCTCTACCTCACAGGCCAAAAAGCTCACTCCTCATAATTTCTATCCTTTTCATTCTGTTGATGCATGTTTTTGCACATCTGATGTTGTTTTTGCACGCTGCCTGTTGTCTCTGTCTTTCTTTTATTATACAATTGTATTGTTTTTTTTGTACTACGTATCGTCTGAGAGCTAGCTAAATAGCATTTCGTTATACCATATACCCGTATATGAGTATAATGACAATAAACTTGAACTTGAAGAGCTAAACCCAGTGTAGTCTGCACTTTTTCATAACCCTTTAATTAGTAGAGTCCCTGGAGAATACTGTTGCTTTCATGGCTCTTGAGATAAGAGTCCAGTGAGCCCTAGGATCAGTTAGGGACCCTATTGTACCCAAGCACAAATGACAGAGCGTTCTGGACTCTGGATTGCCAGAAACAGTCCCACAAGGCTTAGGAACAAAAGGCTCGTTGGCAAACTGTAAAAACACCACCTTGGAATGCAGATCGCTGGAGCATGTTGGATGATTGAGACGTGCAGAGAACCGATGCAGAAGCGGCGCTTTGTTGTTACTGAAGACCTTGCCTTCGGTATTTTCTCTCTCTTTGGGGGGAAAAACGTCAAAGATCCGTTAAACAAGTTGGGAGATCGCCGTAACGCTGCACTTGGAGGAATTATGTTTTGCTGCCCTGATTTCGACACTTTTAAGTACTTGGTATTAATGTCTGCGCTTGACGAGCTTCGCCATTAAAAAGCATTTCATGAATTTTGCATTTGATTTCTTTCTGGTTCAGAGGTTGAAACGCTGACTTCTTGGTTATCCTTGAAGCCTCTTAGATTAACTGTTACATGACACGTGTGATCATATAAATGTTTAAACGGCAGATATGAGTGATATTGTGCGCCGGAAATGGACTCGGGATCTTTTCTTCGACGGGGATTGGTCCTTCTCTGAGTAGAGAAAGTACTTTGAGAGAAAGCTTTTTAACCACGCCCTGAGGAAAAAATAGTTTAGAACTAGATTTTATGAAATGGCACATTTTCTTAGAGATTCTCATAATTTACAAGGTTGCAAATTAAAGTGATTTTTGTAAAAAGTAGGAATTTGTGATGAAAAGGTACAGTAAACACAGTTCTGATTCTATCAGGCAGAATAGTTTTTGGAGCACAAGGCTATAAATCTGAGTGGAATCTTCAAATTCTGGACTTTCCCAAGGACAGTCTAAACAGGAGAATGTGTAGCTCTGCAGAACTCTTCACGAGCACCAGAGACACTCGGACTTTCACTGTGAAGGATCTTGCTTTTATTCTTGTTGGTGCCACATGGCACAGCTCTTGCATGAGGGGAAGTGACTCCCAGATCTTCCTTTCTTATGTCCATATGAACTCCGTTCTCATGTTCTTATGAACAAACGCCTTGTACTCTTACACAGCCCCCTCCTCGTGTTCTTGAACCAGCTTGGAAGTAGCATTTGAAACCGAGAACAAAAAGCACTTATTTGCACAAAGGGTGGTGGGGGTGTGGAACAAGCTGCCCAGCCATGCTGTTGAAGCCAGTCCCCTGGCTCCTTCTTTGATTGAAACAGCTGGATGAGATCTCAGGATCAGTTAGCTCTTTAACTAGATGGACTGAATGGTGCCCATATAAGATCACTTTATTGACCATATACAATTTCTTGTTTTAGGAATTTGTCTATAGACTTCCATGCTCTGTCTACGCCTGTTGTAGTTGTCCTGTATTTGTGAAGATCTCTAGAACTCATCAGCCTCTTGCTACAGCTTCTGACCAGGAGCTCAGACCTGCAGCTGTGTCTGTTGCTCTTGGAGCTGAGGATATTTAAGCTAGGTTGTTGTGCTCCTTTTAATAGCATAGTTTTGATGCAAGCTCGTCCAATCCTGCAGGGTTTCATTCCAGCTTGGCTCTTAATGACCTCCATCAGCTCCTTACTGGCTTAACTGGACCAGTTGAACAGCTTTTCCCAGCTCTCCATGTGCTGCTGCTTTCAGAGACTTGGAGAACCTGCAGAAACACTGGCCCTTCAGGACCAGAACTAGACACCCCTGCTCTGAAGGTTACTCTTGGCAGGAAATTGGCTACCAGTGTGAATTTGTCGGCTCATTCCAAACACTGAGGCACAGGAGTGGAGCTGCTTTTCCGGCCTGAATTCTGCATTTTTTGTCTTTGCCTTCATCCCCAAAACGGTTCAGTTCCGGCCAAGCGTGCAGCTGAAGTGATGGACCGGACACGGCCGGCAGATCTGTAGCTGGAGGTGGGCAGGCCGTGTGTGGGGAGAGGGTCACTGAGACAGAATGACAGCGCAGGGGAGGGAAACAGCTCACTGCACTCGACACACACACACACACACACACACACACACACACACAACTGCACCAGGAGGACAGCCCCACATCAACGATGAGCAATCCAACAGAAGCTTCTGCCGAGTCTGAATATTCGAGAGAGTTTGTGTCTATTTTCGGCTTCCCGCAGCTGTGTCGCTGCCTGTCTGTCTCCCTTTGCAGTTGGATAGTTTTTTGCCTTAAGAAAAGGTGAAGCAAAACTGCCCCCCCCACCCCTCCATCACCATCACTTTTTTCACATCCCCTCATTTCTGTGGTGCTTAAAATGTCTGTCCAGCGTGGCTTGAATCGGACGCAGCCGTCACTAGCATCCGGTGCGGAGATCCATGTAGAGAAAAATGAAAAAGGTGTTCAGTTAGAGCTGGTACTTTCATTTTTAGTGCAGTTTAGACTCTAAGGATAAGGGGATGAGTCGTATGGTATGGTTTTGGATTATGTTTCGTTCAGGGGGGAGGGTTTCGTCTCCTTTTGTAAAACCAAGACTTACCAGTTCCAGTACATCCCCCCATTTTCCAAGCCTTAATTTTCAGTCAACTCAGTTTTACTGCCATGACTCCCATATCCCTCCCTCCCCCCCCACCCAACTCCAACTCCTGCCACAGGCTCTGGAGGTGGGTAGGAGGGGGCAGCTGCCTTGGCTTTCTGAACGTGTGTGGCATCTCCACTGCCGCTCTCGTAAAAGAGCAGGACCAAAAAAAAACACGTTCATCTGTCATCCAGCTTCCACTCCTCCTCCTGCTGCCCACTCACTTCACTCTCATTCCCTGTAGCGGAATTACTCATTCTAATCCCAGCTCTGCCGTTCTGCGTAGGCCGCCTTGAAATCGCCGTGCTTTCGGACAGCCCCCGATAGCGGAGAGGCGTTGATCTGCCAGGAGCCTTAAACGGATGCCAAAGCTCTGGAGTCTCTAGAACTCCCGACTTTGGTCACACTTATAACAGCCAACGCAAATAGCTGCCCATTTCTAAACAGCCTGTGCAGTCTCGCCTAAACATCTGCCCTGTCCGCGGATTTTCAGTGGGTGTCAGTTGGGTTGTAACCCTAATCTGCCCGCTAGTTTTAAAGGCTTGTAGCTGGCGGCCCGAATTTGCTTCTAAAACAGATCTGGTATTTATACAGTATGGTTAATATATCCCTGGTGCAATGTTAAAGGCTACCGAAGTGCAAGGAAGCAGACTGAAGTGATAGTGGGACCCTTCAATTTTAATTAGTCAAGAAAATTATATAACCTCGGACGTTTTAATGAGCCTCTCCCCCCCCCTGCATTTTTGCAAAGCTATAAATACATTTCTGAAAGGCCCACACTGCTCATGGCAAACTCAAGTGGGATGTGGCTGCATTTTATTGTGCGTCTTGTTTCACTTGGTGAACTTGTCCTCATCTCTCCCTGTCTAATTATTCATTTCCTGCGGTGCCATAAGACATATTACTCGAAATGTCTTTCTCCTGCTTCAGTGGGCTCCGTTGCTGGGCATCTGTCAGTCTGCCCTTACAGACCTTTCGAAACATCTCGGGGGCGAATTTTGTCTCCCGTCTGAGAGGAGCAGAGACGTTCTGCGCCGGCCAGAAGGAGATGCGTGGAGAGAAAGGGGGACTGAAAACAGGAAGCACTCGGTCAACCGAAATTTGGCAAAGTGTCTGGAAACACACGTTTGCAGACCAGCTTCACCTGCCCTCTCACCTTTTTTTTCCACATTGCCGTTCCTCCTACGACTCATGTTGTGCCTAATTTGTCGTTTTGCAATGCAGAGTGTTTATCAATGAGCTCTCCAGTGCTGTTTTACTGCTGGGAGTCTTTGCTTTGTGGCTTGGTTGTGTACTTATATGCATCCAAAGATGGCCTCTATTGGTACATTGGAAAGTCATTGTTCATCCTTAGTCTTACACGTGGGAATATAATTCTGCTTAAATCAGCTGGTAGTGTAACATTGTGTGGAGCACGCAAGAGCAGAATGGTTTATTGTTTCAAAGATAGGGGGTACTGG